TCTTCCCTAGACTAGCGAGGGCGGTGGGACTGGCAAAAAAGGGCTCTCAAGATGCTATCAGGGGTAACATTAGCAAACACTGATCCAGTGCTTCCTTGTGCCGGGCTTGACTCTAAGCGAGACGGTTCTGATTTAGCAGTTCCCCCAACAAAAAAAAAAAAGAAAAAGAAAAAATACAGAAGCCTCGGTTCTACAGCAGACCAACTGAACGGAGGTGTCTGAGGCGGGCCCGGCCTCTGGGTGATGCCCTGCTGGGTCACACGCTGGGTGAATGGGAAGGGGCGGGACAAAGCTGGAATCTGTAGACCCCGTGATTCCCAATTTTTCTCATCATGTACCCATATTAATTTTAAAAAGTTGAGGGTGGGAGGGAGGGAGACACAAGAGGGAAGAGAGATGGGGACATATGTATATGTGTAACTGATTCACTTTGTTATAAAGCAGAAACTAACACACCATTGTAAAGCAATTATACCCCAATAAAGATGTTAAAAAAACAAAAGTTGAGTGTGCAGGTCTTATACATAGGTATGTGTATGTACTACTGCACAGACATGTATACTATAAAATACAGCAAAAATATACACTTGAAAGGTTTACATAAGAAATGAACCTAAATTCGAGTGCCTTCTTGGCGCGCCCTCGGACCGTCTAGCTCACCCCGCTTTGATAGCATGTAGACTATCCAAAATCTGGCCCCTACGTCCTTCTGTTAGTGGTACTGATTTCAGGTCGTGGAACGGTATGGGGAGGAGAGGCTGCTATGAAAACTTGCAGCTTATTAAAAGCCCACTGATAAGCAATCGTGTTCATTTCTGCCCATCAGTATTCATCTGAGGGGTATTTTGATACGTAATCTCATGGTGAGCCAGGAGTGTCAGTTAGCTGTCAGCCCTGCAATGTGCATAATTCATTAGAATTTCACTTTCTTCACCTTCTCCCGCTGGATGAAGGTTTGGGGAGGTCCTTGGCTTCCCCTGATTCAGAAGCCCTGTGTGTGCCGACCCCCCACACGCCCCCCCCCCCCCCGCCGCCACTACCTCAGCGTTGAGTTACAGGGCGCTGACGGCAACCGTGCTCGAGCCGCCCTCTCGGAGGGAGAGTTCTGTCATTCACTCGCGGGGAGCTTGACAACAGCAGAAAGATTTCTTAGGAGCTGTTATTTAAAGAATGCCCATTTAAAACTTTTAAAAGGTCACCCATCTTGTGTCCCAAGCATAATGGCCCACTGTCGCTGCACCGTGTGGTATGTGGCCCCTTCCCCCCTGAGCGTCCTCGTGGGAGCCTCAGGTGGCTGACTGGTCTGAGAGGCACAGGTTCTGACCCTGGGCTTGGCCTTGTCGTGCGTTTTACTCTCCAGATAGTGGTGTTGAGGGGCCTCTGCTACTTTAAAGGAAACCGGCAAAGAGATGAGGGGGCTGGGGGTGTCCCCGCTTTTTGCTGTGCTGTCTTCAAGGGGAGAGACCTAAGCTTTTCCTAATCATAATACCAACAACAGTGACAACAGTTACTGAGAAATTGCGTGCCAAGAGCCGTGATTGCTCCACGTTCGTTATCGCATTACCTCCTCACAGCAGCGCTGTGAATAGGTTTAATGTCCTCCGTGTTATAGATGAGAAAGCCGGGGATGAGCAGAGAGAACTAACTCGCCCAGGTGGCTGGCAGCGGGACCGCACGCAGGCCTATCAGAGCCCAGTGCCCAGACCCGTGGCTGCTCTGTAGGAACAGGCCGGCCGATCCAGGCAGGCTCCCCGCTCACTCAGTCGCCTTCGGCCTGGAGTCATTAAGCTCTTCCCCATGTGTTTCAGATCCTCTGGACCACGAGCCTGCCGTGTCTCCATTGCTCCCTCGAAAAGAACGAGGTCCTCAGGATGGCGGCCTAAATGAAGACGAGCGCCTTCTCCCCAAGGACAAGAAGACCAACTTGTTCAGTGCCTTGATCAAGAAGAAAAAGAAAACAGCCCCGACCCCTCCCAAGCGCAGCAGCTCCTTCCGGGAGATGGACGGCCAGCCGGAGCGCAAGGGGGCCCCGGAGGAGGAAGGCCGAGACATGAGCAACGGGGCGCCCGCGCCCGCGGACACAGCCGAGCCAGCCAAGTCCCTGAAGCCCAGCAGCGGGGCTGGCGTCCCCAATGGAGCCTTCCGGGAGTCAGGGGGGACAGGCTTCCGGTCTCCCCACCTGTGGAAAAAGTCCAGCACGCTGACCAGCAGCCGCCTGGCAGCCAGCGAGGGGGAGAGCGGCGGCAGCTCCAGCAAGCGCTTCCTGCGGTCCTGTTCCGCCTCCTGCGTGCCCCACGGGGCCAAGGACGCCGAGTGGCGGTCGGTCACGCTGCCTCGGGATCTGCAGTCCACGGGAAGACAGTTTGACTCGTCCACGTTTGGAGGGCACAAGAGTGAGAAGCCAGCTCTGCCTCGGAAGCGGGCAAGTGAGAGCAGGTCTGACCAGGTGAGCAGAGGCACAGGCACTCCCCCACCCAGGCTGGCAAAGAAGGCCGAGGAGGCAGCCGACGAGGTCCTCAAAGACACGGCCGAGTCCAGCCCGGGCTCCAGCCCTCCCAGCCTGACCCCAAAACTCCTCCGTAGGCAGGTTGTGGTCGCGCCTTCCTCCGGCCTCCCCCACAAGGACGAGGCTGGGAAGTCCAGTGCCTTGGGGACGCCTGCTGAGCCGGTGCCCCCCACCGGCAGGGCAGGGCCAGGTGCTTCTGGAGGGGCCAGCAAGGCCCCTGCCGAGGAGTCCAGAGTGAGGAGGCACAAGCCCTCCTCCGAGTCCCCAGGGAGAGACAAGGGGAGACTGTCCAAGCTCAAACCCGCCCCGCCGCCCCCTCCTCCAGCCTCCGTGGGGAAAGCCGGGAAGGCCTCCCAGAGCCCGAGCCAGGAAGCAGCCGGGGAGACGGGTGCCAGTGGGAAAGCAAAACCCATGGCTCTGGTTGTGGATGCCGTGAACAGTGACGCTGCCAAACCCGGCCAGCTGGGAGAGGGCGTCAAAAAGCCCGCGCTCCCGTCCATGCCAAAGCCCCAGTCGTCCGCCAAGCCAGCGGGGACCCCGACCAGCCCAGCCCCTGCTCCCTCCGCGCTGCCGTCAGCATCCTCTGCCCTGGCAGGGGACCAGCCGTCCTCCACCGCCTTCATCCCTCTCATATCGACCCGCGTGTCTCTTCGGAAAACCCGCCAGCCTCCGGAGCGGATTGCCAGTGGTGCCATCACCAAGGGCATGGTCCTGGACGGCACCGAGGCCCTGTGCCTGGCCATCTCCAAGAACTCTGAGCAGATGGCCAGCCACAGCGCCGTGCTGGAAGCCGGCAAAAACCTCTACACCTTCTGTGTGAGCTACGTGGACTCCATCCAGCAAATGAGGAACAAATTCGCCTTCCGCGAGGCCATCAACAAACTGGAGAATAATCTTCGGGAGCTTCAGATCTGCCCGGCGACAGCAGGGAGTGGCCCGGCGGCCACCCAGGACTTCAGCAAACTCCTCAGCTCCGTGAAAGAGATCAGTGACATCGTACAGAGGTAGCAGAAGCCGGGCGTCGGGAGCCTGCAGCGCGTGAGGGCTCCCCCGTGCCCGTGACGGTGGCTGAGACAGGACCAGCGAGCTGGGACCTTGGCCCAGGAGCTCTGCGCCGGGCAGGGCTGAGGCCGCCGTGGAGTGCAGCCCTACTACCTATGTCATGGCCCCGCTGTTCTCCTGCACTTGCCTTCTCCTCAGCCCGGGCTCCCTGAGCCATCTGTCCGAGTTCTATCTGTGGAGTTCCTGCTCTGTGGAGTTCCTGCTCTGTGGACTGCACGGCAGCCTCTTTCCCACATCGTGCTTCAAAACTGAGCTCTTGGAGGCAGGTGGGAAGGCGGATGAGCACTTCCTTTTCATCTGTCTTTCTGGAGGACCTCCCCTGGCTATGCCTTCACCTCCATTTCACCCCAAGAACGAGTACCCTGCATGGGAGCTGTGTCACCAAGGCCTTGGGAACGGTCACCTCCGCTCACCCTGCGCAGAGAGGTTGTGCACTCATCTTCCTCGTGCCTCCTGTGCCGAAGACACGTTTCCAGAACTGCATCTTGGGAAGTGCTGCCAGCTGGCCACCCTCCCCTCCACTGCTGCCGCGGGCTGGTGCCCTCACCATTTCCTCACGTGAAGGACAGCTCTTGATTTGGGGGGTAAAACAGGGTGCTAAAACCAACCAGCCTCCGGGTCCCGGGACAGGTGGGGAAGCCGAGGAGGCCCGTGATGTGGGAGAGGCTCCTTGTCACCCGCTCTCTCCGTGTCCTTAGAGCCCAGTTCCCGGCTCTCTTGTGACATGCACTGCTAATCCTGGATAGAAAGCTTGAGTCTTAAGGGTAGCAGGGTCGCTGGTCAGCGTACGGGGGCTCCAGAGGCGGGAGGGGTGGCGGTGGGTGAGCAGCTGCTGCCGAGATAGCCCAGGGCTGGGCCGGTCTGCGGTGAGCGCAGGGTTACCTTCCCTCCGAATTTCCAGGTGCCCTGAAGAGGCGCTTGGTCTCGCTTTTTCCGATTGACCTCTTTCCGCTCTGTTGTCCTCCTCTAAGGCAAAGTAGATGCTTGCAGGGCTCTTTCCCGGGTGACAAGCCAGTGTTCAGCTTTCTGGAGTTCTTGAAGCCTTTCAGAACTCGGCCCTCAGCACAGCTGCCTCCGATACATAAGGAAGGTGGTTGTTTGGGGGCCTCTTTCCCTGGTGACAAGCCAGTGTTCAGCTTTCTGGAGTTCTTGAAGCCTTTCAGAACTCGGCCCTCAGCACAGCTGCCTCCGATACATAAGGAGCTGCCATTGGGCGCCGGTGCACGCAGAGGAGGAAAGGGACTGGAGCACCAAAGCCCAGCCAGCGTTGGCTGCACCCTGACGGGCACATGTCTTATTTAATTACCACGAGCAACACTTAACCTAATGTTTCGGTTGGGCTCATCGGGGATGAAGAAAATCACAAACAAATGAACCCCCAGAAAGGGTCCCAGAGAGCAGCGTAATCTCCCCCTGGCTGTCCAGGACCAGGCTCGTAGGGCAGGAGCCCAGTGTCCTTGACCTTGACCTAGAGCGGCTGCTGAAGAGCAGGCCGACGGGCACCTGTCTGGGCCTTGCCGCGCTCAGGAGCGCCCCCTGGAGAAACCAGGAGGAAACCACCTTCCGCTCCCCAGGCCTCCTAGGGCCCGTGACCTGCACGGGCCCGATTTTTACGCCCACCGCCTAAATTTGTATTTTATTTCTCTGGTAGAGGTGGTGTCCTCTGAGTCGTTTTACGCTGTTTCCACAGCACGTCACCTCTTTGCCCCTCAGACTGCTGTGCTACACAGACCGAGGGAGGTGCCAGAACACCGCCAGTGGCCTTGCAGACAAAGCAAGACAGCCCACCCAGGTTCCCTCCACTGCCTGTTTCTGCGAGGTACTGGTCTCTTCTTGCTCACATGATGTGCCACTATATTTTGCATTTATACTTTGGTATTACACTCTTTTTATAGACTTGCTCTTTTATAAATGATGTGTAAATAGTTTTCCACCGTCCTCCCTTCCGGAATGCCTATGGTGTCTTTTTTTTTTTTTTTTTTTTTTCCAGTCCAATACATTTTGTTTCTGTATGTGACTCTGTTTTTTGAATCCACGTCTCTCCTCCGTAGTATTTTTTAAATAAATGTTTACAACACTAGCACGTGGGCAGGTTGCTTTGGTCTGCAGTTCCTCCCTGTTGTTCAGAGCCGTGGCGTGCGTGTGGGCAGGGAAGGAGTCAGGCTTTCCTGAAGGGGCCCGGGTCTCCGTGTTGGGTCTTAACAGAACAGAACGATCCCGCGTCGGCCGTCCTGTCCTCATCTCAGCCCCTTCCTGTGCCCTTGACACCTACCTGCCAGCAGCCTGGCTCTTGGCGGCGGCACTGAGAGTGGGCTGTGCCACCTGTCAGGCCGTCACGGTGTCGTTGAAATGGGGGAAGGAGGTCACGTCCCGGATTTCTCTCTGGCCTGAAAGGGTTAATGCCTCCCCAAGTGCATTTTTTCTCTTTACATTTGAGCTCACTTTCAGCCACTGTCATCAGCCCCCAAAGCACCCCCTCGCTTGTGTTCCACGCACCGGGCATCTTATTTCTTTGTGTGGATGAGGAAGAAAAGGGTGTGCTGGCCCCGGCCGGGCTGTGACCTCTCCCAAGGGGACTGTCGAGGAGGGTGCTGACGAGTCCTCGTCTTGGTCTCCATTTAACGCCAGCTGGCAGCTTGGGAAGCGGAAGTGGGGGGGAGTGAGTAGCACCCTCTGATAACGGGACTTATTAAGCCAGCAGCCTTGTCAGAGGATACAGATCCTGTCCACCAAAGCCCGTTGAAGAGCACGGTTCCGTGAAGCCTCTTCCTCTCGGAGACCTCGGCAGCGGGCTGTGCTGCACATCAGGCGGTGCGCTCAAGCCGGAGCTGCAGACGGCCCCCGGGACCCATATCTTCCCTCGTCTCACAGACGCAGGACCCAGGCCCAGGCCGCAGAGTCTGTTAGTGGCTGAACCATCACTTGACACCAGACCTCCTGAGTCCAGGGCTCGCTCTTCCCTTGAGCGACAGCTCACAATCTGAAAGAGGGCATAGAGCGATTATGTTGACAGCCACACTGACGTGGACCCTTCACGGAATCCTCACAGCAGCCTCTTAGGGTGCGCTGTCCCGTTTTCCCCACGCTCTATGACTGGAGTTTACTTGCCCAGCCATAGCTCACACGTGGTGAGGCCGGGACGCAGCCTCGTATACACGCTAGCCACCTTGGCGCCTGTTCCGGTGTGAAATAAGGGTCTTAGAAGACTCTTCCCCAAAGTGAGAATCTTCCATGAATGTCACCCGAGCCCAAGAAACTTACTTGGGTCTAGCCATTCTAGGACAGTGGTCCTTAACCTTTTTTTAGGTCAGAGAAACCCTTGAGGACCAAACGAGGACTGCGGATTTAGCCCCAGGAAGACGTACCCGTGTGCGCACACAACGGTGTTCAGAGGATTCTGAGTCCCGCCCTCAAGGTCCAGAACCAAGGAGTGAGTACCCGAGGGCCAAGCCCCCCGAAGGTGGGCAGCCGCTGTTGATGGTACTACCGCAGAATACAAGCCTCGGGTGTCAAAGTTTTAAAAACAAAACACTTTTTGCTCTTTCTGACTACCGAATGTAAAACGGACGGCTGGTGGGAAGCAGCCGCATAGCACAGGGAGATCAGCTCGGTGCTCTGTGACCACCTAGAGGGGTGGGATGGGGAGGGTGGGAGGGAGGCTCAAGAGGGAGGAGAAACGGGGACATATGTATACGTACAGCTGATTCACTTTGTTAAAAAGCAGAAACTAACACACCATTGTAAAGCGATTATACTCCAATAAAGATGTTAAAAAATATATATACATAACAAGAAAAACGCCCAAACACTGAAGAACCCCAAACGGAAAACAACCCAAGGTCGTGAAGAGCAGGGAGGATAGGTACGTGCGGGGTGTTCACTCCGTGGAATGTCGCGGAGCAGTGGGGTGGGACAAACTCCCTCCACTTCACGGTGTGTCATGCCGGGCAGCCAGCCGCCAGGCTCTGGGGACAGGTGATGTCCTCTTGCTTAGTCTGGGTGGTGCTGGCTAATGGGTGGGTCACTCGGTGAAAACTCATCAGACTACACTTAGAATTGGGGCACGTTCTGGATGTGCGTTATATCGCGATGAAAGTTTTCTTAGAATTACAGCTCACACGTGAGTGCTTTTAGCTATTATAGACGCGCTCTGCATTACTACGCGGAACCCCCCCCCCTTTTTTTTTTTTTTTTTTAAATGAGGGAGGTTCTGTCGCTGTCTTCATTTAATGGGTGAGAAAGCTGGCCTCAGAGATGTTGAAGCAGCTTGCCCGAGGTCACACAGCACGTGCCAGCTTAACATCTGCTGTGCCAGACGAATTTGTTGATGGTCCAGATGGCCACAGCATGACTAGCGGAGACCTGGGCTCCAGGGCCAGGCTCCTCCCTTCATCATGGAAGAGAAGAATTCAGAATTACAGCTAATAGCCCAGCTTTTTGGGTGTCGGGGATATTTTATAGGCAGGGTTCCCCAACTGAGTGCTCTGGGGGATCGATTTCTAAATGTCATCTTGGTACAGAAGACATCAGGTGGGATGAGACTGCCCAACCACAGTATCCCCTGCCCGTGTCTGCCCTCCTTCCTGGTCGCCCACCATCTTGGGCGGGACCCCAGCTCCCTGCCTGGAGGGTGAAAGCCCCTTGCCTGGGTCGGGGTCTCCAGTGGAGTGTGTCGTGCGGCATCTTGGGCACCAGCGCCAAGTTAGGGCGAGGTGGCCTCTTGTTTACTACAGCAGTGCCCTGATGGCTTGCTGGCCACGCGAATCTCTTTTTTTCTTAGACATTTTTATTAACATTTCAAGCATACAAGAAAACATAGACAAATATTCGCCGGCCGTTTTAATAGCTAAATACCTTGAGATCCACACACCAAGATGAGGCCTTTTTTGTGTCTTGAATGTATAAGATGGGCGAATGCAAACAGCTCTCGGGTGCCTGGGCTGGAGGAGAGAGCACTGCCACGCCAGGTGGAGCGGACCTGGCGGCCCAGGGGAGCTCCATCTCCCCGCTTCCAAAATAAGTGTTTTCCGAAGAGCCTCACCTTCACTAACCTGGGGAGTAAACTTCCCCACCAAGCGAGGGTGTGGGGTGGCGCGAGAGGCCCCCAAACCTTGACAGAGACAGTAGGGTGGAGAGGGCTGGGGGCGGTAAAGAGGAAATTTAGCCAAATGTAGTGGGAGTGGATCTAACAGATCAATGCCCTCAACAGTTTGATTGCTCTGACTTCCAGGGTTATTGAGCTCAAATATACAAGCAACTGGAAAGAACAGCTTTGTTGTTGACTTTTGTTCAATGATGAAAGCCTAAAGACAGGATATCCTCTGCTTTGAAGGCTCTCCCCCTCCCCGCTTTACCTCAGATTTCTCCATCAAGGTTAATCTAATCCTACTAAATTAAAAAACAGCCAGTGTATACCCAGAGTGGCTGTAAACACATGCAGGAGTGTCTCCACCTTGGTGACCTCCGAGTTCTCACGATTAGTGACCACAGGGGCGGCTCCTTTTGTCCTAAGAGTAGAAGTTGGCGAGAGAACGTCAGCCACGGACCTTGCCACGGACCTTGCCACAGGGCGTCCCTCTGCCCTCGGCCTCTGGTCTGTTCTGTTACACCTGGACTTCCGTGAGCACGTTCTCTGGCTTCTTTGTGTGTATAAACGAGCTAAGGGATGGGGTGATCCAGGTTGCTGCCCCCGCACCGCCCTTAACAGAGTGGAAACGAGCACACGTTTGGCTGAGAGCCTGAGCTGGGACCGTACACTTCCTTCATCCGGCCACCCTGTATTGTACAGTCTCAGCACCAGGGCTGTGTCCTTCATGGACACACTGGGGCTCGTTTTCTTGAGATCTGCCTTCCGTGGCTTGAGGGCTGAGTGTTTGCCTCTTTCACCAACAGGCAAAGACCCACCCCTGTCTGTCACGTTGGCAGGAGGCATCCTGGATCATCCCTTCCTCGACAGTGGCAGAGGACAAAGAGTATGATGTGCCTCCCAGACTCAGTGTCACCGTCTGGCCCCTGTCACAGCGGCCCTGAGCCCCAGGGCCCGTTTACCAAGGCATCGGCGGCCCTTCCTAATTCAAGTCACCCTGGAAATTAGATCGAGGCTGTGCGCTGGAAGTTAAGTGCAGACGATGGGCAGAACCTCAGTTACATGTGAGAGCTTAGCAGTAAGGGAGCCTGGAAGTGGTGTTTTCCAGCCCACACTGCGGGAACCTGCACCAAAAGGGTGACGAGCGAGCCTCATCACGCGTCCCCATAAATCAGGTTGTCCATGGCAGAGGTGGAGTGGCGGGGGGGGGGGGGGGGCGGCGGAGCAGGGAGGAGTCCCAGGAGAAGGCGGCTCGCCTCAGCATAAGGTGATGTTCTGACTCCTGTTGTGTTCCTGTCCCATCTCTCCAGCCCATTTCTGCTCCCCAGTCAGCCCGCCTCTTGTGTGGCTCAGATCCGTCACCCCTTAGTGAAGCGGCTTTCAGGCTGTCGAGGACTGAGAGCTGCTACAGGGGAAAAAAGTCTCTAATAGAATGGAAAACACTGTGAAATGCTCCAAGGTGCCAAGCTGGGCCCTGCCTGGTGTGGTTCTAAAAGGCTCATAAAAATCTACCAATTAATTGTGACAGCTCGATGGAAAATTACTCAGTTGTGAACCAGGGGCAAGCAATAGCTCAAAAGGAGGAGGGGAGATGTTGCCATGGGAACATCAATACAGGTTCTCATCTCAGCAGTTGAAGCCAGCCTAGGAGTGAACAGCATCAGACTGCTGGATCTGACTCGGGATGGGATGCAGGACACACCAAAGCAGCGTTTGAAAGAGGTGCTCTGCCTCACGCCCGGGCTGCTGCCACTCCGGGCCCAGCGCCGGCTTCCCTCAGGGTAGAGAAATTGTTTTCAGAATGCTCCCTGCTTAGAGAAAACCAGGGAGAGGGCAATCTAGTGGGAGAGGAAAATGCACTCTGTGTGTGTTTCCCTATACTTTTGGCCATGGGTATTTTACCAACTGCCAACTAAGGGGATGCTGGGAGCAGTGTGTGGGTACATGCAACACGATTGCCATCTCCCCAAAGTTAAGGCACTTGCAGCTCAGGAAAGCGAAGTTCCTGGGGCACGGAGGACCTGTAAGCCAAGAGTCAGGCGGGCTTTCCATTACAGTTTTGCAGTTGTTACAACTTTTATTTCAAAAGATACAACACATTCATAGTCTGAACATTGGAAATGCAACCTCGCTACAGCAAAAATGTATTCCTTCCTCATTCATCTCCCACGGGACTCTTGGCTTTTGGTAAATGCTGCACCACCGAGAAGAGTTGTCAGAAGGGGATGGGCAGGTGGTTCCGAATGGCATCTCAACACCAGCGGGATGAGGTTTTCTTGCCAGGGGGATGTTGTGTTAATGGAATGGAGAACAAGATTTCTTTTTTCCATTGTCAACTTTCAGAACCATACTCTGTGCCCAGCGGAACGTGCTTGCTCACAGCTGCACTTTGGATGTCAACCACTGACGTCCCGATGGAGGCGGTCAAAACTTTGATGATCCCACTGTAATCGCTTAGTCCACCAACCTTCAACTCGGGGCCAGCACGGCCAGCTCTGCCTATTCGTATTCACGGCCCAACGGCATCCTCAGGCATCCTCGGCTCCGTGCCACCCCTGCCAGGGGACTGCTCAGAGCCAGCCCCGCAGCGGAGGGAGCTGAGACACAACAGTCCGCCAGGGAGCTACGCCAGCAGTGTTCTCTTCTTAACTGGGACTTGCTTTTGGTCACCTCCCTTTTGACACCATCCAGAATTTTGCTTCAGCAAAGTTGGAAATCAAAAGTAAGCACCCACCTAACCAAGCCCACTGCTATTATAATGCCTGTTATAATTCATTACACTAATGCCCACACCTTCTCAGCGTCTTGGTCTTTGAGGCTCAAGGAGAAGATGGGAATGGAAACGGCGGGGCGGCGGGGCACGGAGGAGCCCTTTCTGGGGTGCTCTGGCCCCTTCAGCCCCGGCCGAAGCGGAAGCTGAAGCCGCCTTTCTCCCTGCTGTAGCCGTTGAGCTCCTCTGCCAGGGTCCCTAACAGGCCACCAGCTTTCTCGCCGTCACCCAGAAGGAAGCCGGTGGCCTCACTGCCATCGTCCTGCTGCCTCGCAAGCCTCAGCGCGAAGCCGGCACACGCTCTACCCAACGTCGGTGGCTCCTTGGCCATGACGAGCAGGGCGTGTGGCTGTGGCGCTCTCGGCCACCCAGGGGAGCCCCAGGGGAAGTGGCGTCCCCTCCGCCGGGTCGGCCCAGCTCATTTCGCCTCCGATGCCGCCCACGGCGCCCACGGGCTCTTCTGTGTCCAGCACAGGAAAGCAGGCACCCAGCGGCAGGAAGAGGAGGTAGGGCAGCGAGTAAGCGCTCGTCATCTGGTCCAGGGGAGAGAGAGGAGGGTTACATGCTGCACTTCTGGGCCACAGCACACTTCCCAGGGCCCCAGGCAGCCATCAAAGGCGTAAGCTGGTGGCTCGGCTGAGCCCAGCTCGCAGGCAGCGAGAGGAAGTGTCACCCTGTCGGGGGACCAGGCCTTTGTTGTCTTAGCAGGCTCAGGAGCCTAGCGCGCCAATTAGGCTGGTTCTGCCTCTCCTGCAGTCTTTGACGGCCTTGGCACCTGAACACTCTTAACACCACTGCTGCTGGGATGGCTTACAGACAGCCCCGGGAGAGCCGGGCAAATCTGGGCTCATTCTTCCTGTATTATAATTACTGATTCTTGGGCCATATCATCTCAGAGCCGTGGGCTAGAAAATTAATAGCATCAATCCCTCTTAGTTTTCAACTTGATAATGAATGGGTCTGGTTAAGCTGTTTAGCCGGGACGCTCTGCTAATGTCTCCCTGACGTGGAAACGAGTTACTCCTGAAAGCAGGCCTAACTCGGACGTCCCCCTGGAGAGGAGTGGCCGCCGGTCCCTGCTGAGCACCACCTGTGTGCCAGGCTGTGAGCGAAACCTCCACGTGCACGGTTGCACTTTATCTTCACGATAAACCTTATTTTAAGCACGGTTATTCCCATTTTTTTCAGGCAAGAGCACTGTCAGAAAGGCTAAGAGACTGTGCCCAGGCCACACAGCTAGAAAGCGGGGGCTCTGGGATTCCTGATCCTAACGGCCAGGGCGCTTGTTGGCGTACCAGGCCTGCGGGCAGTGCTTTCCGCCCGTGCCTGATACCGTCCCTCCTACAGGAGGGCATCCCTTATCTCCATCTACAGAGGAGGGAGCAGTCTCAAAACAGGTGACAGTCCTGTAAGTGACAGAGCTGGGATGCTAGCCCAGGTCTAATTGGGCCTGATGCAGGAATTGCCGCTCTACCCCAAGGATGGCGGTCCATGCGGGATTTGAAACAGAAATAGAGCTTCCCCAAATGCCCCTCCCTTGGCAATAACTGCTCGTTCCCTTGCAAAGGAAGCCTTTTTGGTAACGACCACGGTGAGTCTATGCTGGCCGGTCCTCTGAGGAGTAGAACCGAGGCTAGAATAACGAGAGTGGGTTCTGGAGAGGATAGCGCAGACCCCCCCACCCCCACCAGAGCTCTTTCCAGAAATGGCTCCCTTGAAGACATTTCAAAGTGTACTCAGCCAGAAAGCTTAAAAAAAAAAAAATTCATAGAAGCAGCCCTCCTCTTCCCAAATCCAGTCCTCTTAAGCTTCCCTCATCCCCTGAGGCTGGAGCGACCTCTCACCTGCTTCAGAGAAGCCTCTTCTGCGGAGCCTGGATGGAGTGGGGGCTTTTCACACGGTGTTTCCTCCCCATAGAAAGCAATGCAGACAGCTTTTGGACCGGGTGGGATTCCATCTGGTGGATGAATCCACCTGGGAATGGCCTCTGGGTCTCAAGAACGGGGGCATCTTGATGCACAGAAGGAAGTGACACTTCTCCCGTTTGGGGGGACCACGGACCTCTTCAAGAACCTAGTAGAATCTTGGGACACTCAACACCGAAAATTGGGCCCCAGCGCAGATGGAAGACCAGGGGCCGAGCCCTGGAGGGCACCTGTGGCCAATCTCTGTGCTGCTCTGGGCTGCAAGATGAGGTGCTGGTCTCCACCTCTCTGGGCCTTCCCAGCCCGGTGGGTCCCCGTGGTTCCTACTGCCCATGCCCAGCTCCTGACCTGCAGGAGGGCCTGAGTGGGGCTTCTGCAGGGGATGGAGCGGCTGTACTCACCACGCTGTAGGCCTGCTCCCAGGAGGGCAGCTGGACCCTGGGCCGGGCTGGGCAGAGCTGCTCTGGGTTCCCTGCCCTGGAGGTGTGGCTCCCGGGTTCTCCCTGCTTTATATAGGCCCCCTGGGTGCACTTTTGTGGCGCGCTCTGATTGTTGCACATTCCTGACCCTGGGATTCCACTGGGGACCTGGTGGTGAAGGAGGGCGCAGTGTGGACCACACTGATAGAAGACCCAACACAAACAGGATGTGGTCTGACGAGAGGGCCAGACGGGGCTGCCCTTTGCCCAGAGGCCCGCCTTGTTCGGAGGAGTGCAGGCAGCATCCTTAACTATGAGTCACAGGCGTGGCCCTTGAGTACCCTTGGAAGAGGCGTCCGAGCCCACCCTGCAGAATCCTAACAGGGGTCTGCCTTTGTGGGGTCCGCCTTGCGCTCACTGCTCACGCACCCGCCGCCCAGCCAGCACCACCGCCGCCGTGGGCTCAGGAGGTCAGATGGCTGTGAAGCCAGCCCTGGCCTTTCACTCTGGTTCGGTGTGCAGTTGTGTTCGGTGCCATAGCTCATCCTCTCTGGAGCCTTATGAGGGGCATCCGGTGCCAAGAGCCTGAGCTGGGCAGTGGGAGAGGGCGCAGAGGGGGTTTGGCGAGCCCCTCTCTCAAGCCCATGGCCCCCGAACCACGGTAGGTTTGCGCCTTAGGAGGGAAGCTCAGTCTTCCCATCACCATAGCCCCAGGGCCTGGCTCGGTGCCTGCGGCCCACTTGGGAAAGGACAGACGGACCAGCGAGTGTTTTCAAAACTCATCTGCCTCTCTGATGTGAGTCATGGAGATGAGGCTGTTAACCCAGTGTGGGGTTCGTCAAGGGCTGGTGAAGGTCCTGGTCACGGAGGACACCAGCGTTTGTCATCTCCCCAGGTGAGCTTACGGGCCAGGATGGGGCGCATCACGAGTTGTCACCTGCACCGCACCCCCACAGTGGGCTTTGGGGCTGGAGGGGGCTGTGCTGTGCGCGCCGAGTCCCTGTGGGATCCACGCTGGTCCAGGCGTGGCCACGGCTGGGCATCCTGCTCACTCACGCCTCAGGGCGCGCACCCCCGACTGTTCACAGCAAAGTCTGCTGCATCCCTCCCCCTGCACCTGTGTGATCGCAGAGCGTCCCTGGAGTCTGCTCCGGGCACAGGGGGCTGTGCGGCTAAGCCAGGGTGCGGGTCCCGGCTGGGCAGAGCGCTCTGCGGAGTGTTCTCCAGCCACCAGCCAAGGGGCAGGGCCGGCACCCAAGACGGGGAAGCGCTGCCCATGGGTGCCCTGCTGACTGGTCCAGCCGCCCACAGACCCAGGAGTGCTCCTCCCCTGCCCATCCCCTCCTCCTGTCCCACCGCTGCTGGGAGACCAGCAGCAGACACCGAGAAGGCCCAGCGCTGCCCCAGCCTCTGCTTCTCGCCGGGCCTAGATCTTCCCTCCTCTGAGAGTGAGCAGGTGCTCGGTGAGGCCGCGGCCACCCTGCAGCTGTCTGGAGGGAGCTGCGCGGGCCAGGCCGGGGACTGAGCACAGAGCATTCCGTCTCCAGGGCCCCCATCCAGCTGGCCTGTCACCTTTGCCTGTGGGGTTGAGGCAGTGGAGGGACTGAGGGGTGGGAAATCACCCCCCACGGGAATAGACGGCCTCGGAGACCCTTCCCCGCCCCCAGTGCCCTAAGGGAGGGGCCGGAGTCTTTACGCCCTCATGGTGAGAGGGTGTGGAGACCGAGGCTCCCAAGTCAGAGCCCTGTCCTGTGCTCCCCTCTCCGGCCCCGTCTGCGGCAGGAATGAGGTCAGGAACGGGCAGAGAGCGTGGGCTGCCTTTGGACCCCTTGGGATGGGGTGGGGTGCACTCTGGCCTCCCTTGGCAAGGGTGAGGACTTTGAGAGCAGGTGAGGGCAGAGGGTGCACCCATGGGCCAACCGGAGCAGTTGCAGAGCCAGGGCTGCCTCTGAGGGGCTGGCATGCGCGTGCATGCACGTGTGCGCACATGTGCGCATGTGTGCACGTGAGATGGGAGGTGCGGTATCATTTTATCTCCCTGGTTAGTGTTGGTTTGTTGAGACACCGGGTGCTGGTTAACGATGGAGTGCAGCCTGCAGTGGGTCACCAACTCGCTGTGAGGCCTTGGGCCAGACGCTTGCCCTCTCTGTGCCTCAGTTCCCTCAGGTGTAAAATGAGAGGTCTTGGTTCCCAAGCTGCGCTCTGCGGAATTCCTCAGGGACGGCTGTGGAGAGTGGGGAGGGCAGAGGTGAGGTCGAGCCCCGAGGGCCACACACACCCCCAGGAGGAAAGCTCCACTTGGCTGTTGACACATTGGGCCCCAAGAAAATTCTGCTGTGAAAACCACCACTGGCCTGGCTCCCTTCAGGACGGGGGCCTGGGGCTCTGGGAAGTGGCCATAGAAGGTCCCATGTGTTGGGCATGGGTTGCCAAGACTGGGGGGGGCAAGACTGGGGGCGAGTATGACTCCTTGGCCCCAGGCCTCAAGTAGGGGCACCTGGAGCCAAGTCTGATGCCAGATTTGGTGCCAAGCTTCCCAACTCCAGGGGCTGCCAGGTGATCTCCAGAACTCCTGGCCCAAAAGATGGTTTGCAAGCGCACTTCACTGGATCTGGGAAAGATTCCGTGAACCGGGCCAGAGCAGCTTGGCTTGGTGGTGGCAGGAGAGGGACCTACCTGGGGTGGGGGGTGACCCCTGGGGAGTTGGGTGGCCACAATCACCTCAGTGACTTCCCATGGCCTGGCTCAGGGGTGTCACCCCCAGGCGTCCCTGGGGGCCTGATACAAGCCATCAGTGGGCAGGAGGGCACGCCTGTTGGTGAGAACACTTTCTGGAGGGGAGTAGTTAGTGCTGAGGATGGTCTGGGAGACCTCGGGCCGCACGGCAGAGACGTCTGTCTGCGCAGGCGGGCAGTGCAGATGCTCCAGCCACGGGTGCCCTCTTAGGTCGGCCCGAGGCAGGACGTGGGGCACATTCACTTCCCCTGGCCCTGCACCACGTCTCCAACACAGGCGCTCGATAAATATTGGATTTCATCACATAAACTCAGGAGATTGCTTTGTCCTTAAGCTTCAGATTGGTTTTATGAATAAACAGCCATCAGGGACTTTCTTAATAAAGAGTCTTGACTCCTCAGGACTCCAGCCCCGGCCACAAGAGAGACCCACAGGGACCGACTGTGACCCTGG